ATGCCGAATTTCGGCTAATTTCATGCAGCCCTTCTGGAGATACCTTCTAACAAACATCCATATAAACATTCGCATTTATAATATTACTAAGATATGTTTAATGTTTTTTGTTACAATTAATTACTATTCATGAATGTTTTTAGTCGTACATTTTTTACAAACAAGCATTTAAAAGTATTAGCTCCGTACTTGAGTATACAGCATCGACATGTACTTGATAATACTGACAGACCATGTTAATTCAGCAAAAAATATATGTAAGAAATGAGGTTAGTTACGAAATATATAGAGAATATATTTACAAGTTTATTTTTAAATTACATTGTAAGCAAAAATTATTGCCAGCTTTTATTTCTTAATTAGAAAATAATATTAGGTAAATAGTGGGTAGGTGGTTAAACACTTGACTTGTAATCTATAGGTCCTGGGTTTAAATCCCGCTATGTAAATGTGTTCGATTTACATATGCACACTTATCCGAGGTTCTTACGGTGAATGAATACATCGTGATGTAAACTGCACATATCTGAGAAGATAGTTTTATCAATTTTTGGCTGTCCCTGTTTCCACAATACCACGATCGTTCCGGGTAATCGAAATGGCTGGCCGATTTTAACGGGAATTTTCACCGGCGAATCTCCGACAACCGCTATGTTAACTAATATTATAAATAGCAAAGATTTGATTATTTGTTTGTTTGTCTCTGAAACTAGTAAGCAATTGAAAAATTATATTGCTGGTGAAACTACGCTATCTCCGGGATTCGCTATCGACATTGGATATTTATTACTAGATATTTTTTAATTCGGCGCGAATGAAATCGCAGGCGACTGCTAGTTGCTAATAAGTTTGGGTGTGAATTTTATCGTACTGGTACAAGGTTGGCAATTACGCGATCAAGATAAATGACGATCAAAACATGTTAATAACAATCTTTTTATACTAGCTTTTCGCACATGTCTTTACTCGATTGGAGCCCAATATTACTTTAAACTGCTAAGTATGATAACGCCTTATTTCCCATTAACGACTAGCCGTACGATCGGCCGTTTGTATGGAGTTCCTTGTCCTTTTTAAGGAACGCCACACACGATTACAGTCGCGCGGTTACCCGTTTATTGGAATCGGTCTTCACACAAATCGGCCCGGCTCTCTCGGTGAAATACCACGACCACACAGAAGACAGGCGTGAAGTGGAATCAATTCCGCGTTTCGTTTGATGAGTGTGCGTCCCGGAGGCCTAATTTAGTCCTCTTTCCCTTCCCATCCTGTTCTGTATAAGGAAAGGATGGGAAGTAGAAGTGGACTTTCCGGATGAGAGGATGCATGGAAAGGGAAGATATTTTCTTTCTGTGCATCCTCTCCTCCGTCGATTTTAGGTAGGCGACGCATATGCAATTGCGTATGTCCATGGGTATCGGCCACTTCGCTATTTCAGCGATTTCAGGTGGCCGCTCGCTCTTTTGCCACCTTTTAATATATAAAAAAAACTTTCCAAAGATTTAATTTTATAAAGTTACAATCAACGTAAACGCGTGAATAATGTAAGTAAAAAGCTGTGTTATTATAGATATGATTTTAATAGATAATAATGATTGGTTGAATTATACCATAAAGTATTTGTCTATTAAATAAAGTTTCCATAGACAATTATTATAAATCAGACCCGTTATTACAAATGTAGCATTTAATTTTATTGCATTAATGAATCTAGAGACTGCAACTCTACAATTTGCAATCTTATTACATAATTATTACTGGAAGTTAATTTATTTATCAGTTTTATTAAATAGAAACAAACTTTTGATATTAGTAAATGTCATGAACTTTAACCTTCCGAGTGCTGGCTGTTTTCAGCAATTATTATTTTTTCTTTACGGTTTTTGATCGTTGATTTACCGAATGCCGAAAAACAAAATTAACTCATTGAATTCGGCATGACATAAATCGACACACCATGTTCTTTTTTTTTAATCATTGTTAAACGGCTGTTTTTCGATATTTTTTTAATATACTTAAAGTATAGATTTATCAAGTAGTCGTAAATTGTCGAAATAAACATAAGTTTTCGGCATTTTAACATAGTTTCGTCGTAAGGTTTATGTTTTAAGGGGACATCATAGGACTGGCAAGATTTTGTTTGGAGTAAAACGTACATTAAAAAAACAATTATCTAGATGTTGCTTTAGAAGATATTAATTCAAATGATTTTCCTTTTATACTATTTAAAGCTCTAATACCAAAATATTTTTATCTATTTTTTAATTGACCTCAAAAGGAAGGAGGTTTTTAACTCGTCTGTATGTTTTTTGTGTCCATAAAAAACCGCGTCCGTGCACAAAAAAGAAAAGCGCGGTCCTGCACATCGTCTAATCGGCAAACGCGAAGTATTTGACCGTAGTAGACTTTTTAGTTCGCATTCAATGTGTTAATTGTGATTTTATCTTTGCAATATACATTTTAATTCTATTATAAACTTTATAATGAAATCAGATAGAAGTAAAATACGAGTTTTGTCTAAAAATCCATACAATAAAATACATACAATAAAATTCCAACAAACGATACATTTTGATGCAATTTGCAGTAGATTTTTTGAGCGCTTAATTAATAATATTATAAGTAATAAAATTATTATTCTAAAAAAACATTTCGTTGTGAAAATTATTGTAAAAAAATAAATAAATTTAATGTTTAATATAATATAAATTCTCGTGTCACAATTTTCGTTTCCATACTCCTCCGAAACGGCTTGACCGATTCTCATGAAATTTTGTGAGGATATTGAGTAGGTCTGAGAATCAGCCAACATCTATTCTTCATCCCCCTAAAAGTTAAGGGTAGTCCACCTCTAAATGTTTACTTTTTATTTTTTAGACAAACACGCGGACGGAGTCGCGGGTGACAGCTAGTAAGTATTACTATAATACGTACGCTACATCTTACTAATATTACAAATGCGAATGTTTGGATGGATGTTTGTGTGACATCTACAGAACGACTGCATAGATCTCGCAAATGTCTTAGATGTAGAACATAGCCTAGAAGAACATATAGGTCACTAATTAGGTTTTTTTAATGTATGGAACTGACGCGCGACAATCACGTGACTCATCGAAAGTAACTGCCAGTTCCTTTTTTGAAATTCGTTATGGAGTCGCTTCGGCACGAATGCACTATACTATGTCTAGTCCCGCTGTACCAATAGAGCTATGCGTCTCGATAACTTTGTTGTCATTATTCTTACCCGTTGTGTCAAAATAAATTAACATACTTTGGATTATTAATTGAATACTTTGACGTCACGTAACCAGATGTAATACATAAATGCCAAAAACTGGTGATCCTTGCTAACCTCAGAACATATTCAGGTTTTTTATTTTTCTAATTAATATTTACTTGTTTACAGCGATATTTCTAAGAACTAATACGATAAATAGAACTTGTTTTTTTTAACTTGATTAATTTGTTATGATTGTGCGAAAGAGGATATGCGCATTAAGGGAATAACCATAATATTAATAACGATATATCGAAGAATAGTATAAATCTATACTAATATTATAAAGCGGAAGAGTTTGTTTAAACATGCTAATCTTAGGAACTACTGACTCCATTTGAAAATTTCTCTTTTTGTTGGATAATCCATTTATAGAGGCAGGATTAAGCCTATATAACATTACGCTGCGACCAATAGGAGCGAAGCGTCAGTGAGTACTAATTATGTTTTTATTTAATACCGCGCAGACGTAGTCGCGGGCGACAGATAGTGTTTTGATATATCTAGGTGGCTCTTGACTTCACGCGAGTCGCAGCGCGGAACTGTTTTGGGCCGCCGAAACATTTAAAAAGAGTTACATACTGGGTGTATGAGAGACGATTAACATTCAGCATGGTTGTTTCATACATCTCTTTTCTACTCATCAAATATACTTTCTTAATATGTTATTAATCTAATTTCAATTAATTTTAAATATATACTTATTGTAATTAATTACAATATTAATCTTACTAATAATATAAATGTTTGGATGAATGGATGGATGATTGTTTGTAAGGTATCTCCGGAACGGCTATACGGATTTTAATAAAATTTGGCACACATATAGAAAATAGTCTGGAAAAACACATAGTCAAAATTAGTACAAATCTCAACAAAATCATTCGAGCCGTTTCAAAGATTATCCGGAACAAACACAGCCTTGTGCACAGACATACGGACAGACATAAATTTTATAAATTATTTTAATATGATTTTTTTTCGTTATTACATTTACATTCGGTACATTCTGACACTCCAATTAAATGAATACGTTTAGATTTATTAACCTAAATTTTGTTCTAAATCACCATTTTAGTTATAATTTTCATCAATCATTCTGTCAAAATTTATGTCCACATAACGAACCGCCAGGGCCTTCTTATTATCATAATATTAATTTAAAATTCGTTTCAAAACCAAACGATATATTTAGAAATACAGTAAGATTTTATGATACATAAATATGTCATAATTATTATTTAAAATATTATCCTGTTATAATTAAATTAAAAATAAATTAGCAAACCATAGAGTAGGCGAAGATATTTTTTTTTGCGTCACAGTTTTGACAAACCTTAGTCATTTAATTTTATTTGTTTGTTTCTATTAAGCTTAATTTTTTTTATTTAAATTAGTCGTACATTAAAATATTCTATTAAATTAATTCAAGATATATTTAATTCTTAAAAAAATGTATGTCATACAAAAAAAATAGAAAAGTAAATATGTAACTGCATTCCTAATACGTAAGTTAGGAAACGTCTTAAGTTATTCAAGTGGATTGCGACAACCTCATAAAAGCAATGTCCAATAACTGAGACGTAGAGCACGCAGCCTCCGTACCTCAAAAGATCACTTTCCAGCGGCCCACTGACCCACATCCCCCTCCCGCACGCCCAGTGAAAGCAATTATATTAGCGAAAACTAATAATGACATAATACTGCAATCATAACCTACCTCAATTGCACCAAGTTTCGAAATTCACAAAAGCAAAAATTAAAAAAAAACTACAAAAAAAAATTATCACAAAACCACAAACAATCACATTTCACAAATCACTGAAAAGTACAGAAAAAAACAACTGTCACTGTCAAAAAAGCGCGCGCGCTCGCGAAAGTGAACTGAAGCGGTAGAGTTGCGTTAACTTTTTTTTTTCACCGCGTGCGCAGCCCGTTAACGCGTTCAGCCAAATCGGGCCTCGATGCCCGACTGCTGTATTGCACCCACTCACTGCTTCGAAGGCAGCCGAAGACGTCACAGCTTTTCTGTACAGACAGACGTCCGCACCGTGAAAAATTGCATCATAACATCGACGTCGCCTTTGTAATGTCGGTATTAGAAAAACAAACATTATCTGCTGACGAGTTTCCGTTCCTTTTTATCAATTTATTTTAATTTAAATATAACTTTTCACTCAACATAATTTGCAGTATTCTATAACATTTTAGCCTAGATTCAAAATTACCACTATTATATTCGTTGAGAAGGAAAAACATTAAATCTTACTAATATTATAAATACAACGTTTGGATTATGGATGGATGTTTCTTACAAGTTACTCCAGAACTAAATACATCAATGAAATTCACCATAGATATAGAACATTATCTGGGACAACACATAGACTATTTGTAATTTTTTACAGCGACGCTGTTACAGGCGAAAGCTATAAACTAATAATAAAACAGTTTAAGTGGGGTCAAAATTATTTTTCCCGAAAAAGGTTAAACATTCGGGAAAGATTAAACATAACTTTCTTGATATACAAGATACGTATCTACGACAGTTAGATTGTAAATTACAACCATTAAGTTAGTTAGACAGGGTAACGGCAGTTAACATTAACCTATTTAACCATTTTATAACCACGCATATTTCCGTGATCTTTAAAATTGTTGACAATAGAACTAACGACATTATGACTAATTTCAATTGCAGTTTTGCAAACATATTACCATCTCTTACATCCTCTTTGAAAAGAACAGAGACAACATTATGTTTCAAAAGAAGTTCTTGGTAGTCAATAAGCACAGTTAATCGATGGTACGATTACCTTTATTTATTACGAACAGTTGTAGGTATGAAATATATTATATAATAGTAACTATTAAACAAATTGATTTATGACTTAGCGTGGTATTATCATGCAGTTTGCATCTCCAGAACGGCTGCATGGATGTCGCCAAAATTTGGCATAGATGTAGAAAATAGTCTGGAAGGGCACATAGGTTACTAAGATTTTTTAATCCGACACGGACAGAGTCGCGGACGACAAGTAATACTTTAATTAAATTTATATATGCAACCAAAACACACAAAAACCCATTCTATCAGTTTCTTCTTCCTTCCTTAATGCCTCGTTTAAATTATGCCAGTACAGTAGGACAGTAGCGCTTAAAATCAGCATTGGCTTACAACTGGTATAATGTAAACACTAACTGATGCCAGTGGGACAAATCTCTATGCCATGCTAGAGCTACTGTCCTACTGCAAAAGTAGTTTTCCCTCTTTCTCAGAAACATTCTTTTTCAAGATATTAGCAATTTAACATATTCAAAGTATAAATAACAGGCACTTTTTACACAAACTGCTAGAATTGTATTAATTTATATTAATTTATTGCTAACCCCACACAGGATATAAGAATAAAAGGTGGAATGACACCTTATTTTAGAAAATAGACATCACTACTACTAATAGGTAAATATAATAAAATTGTGAAAAATAATAGTTTTTTACTAAAGCAAAAAACAATAAACTGCATTTAAAATAGCTTCCAAAAACTTGGTAAAGTTTTAAAACAATGCAAAATGATTTTGTTCTTCCTGATAAAAATTATAAAGTTAATATTTTAACACAACAACAAGATGCATGTAAATTACTTTTAGTTATGTAAAAATTTTGAAACTATACAAAAAAATATTGCCCGAAGACACTAACATCTTACATATATTATAAATGCAAAAGTTTAGACGAATAGAATGGACGTTGGTTAGAAGATATCTCTGGAACGGCTCAACGGATCTTTATGAAATTTGGCACAGATGTAGACACATGACGTAGATGACATAGTCTATAAGAAAACATAGAAAATTTATTAGTATTTTTCTTAATTCTTGCGAGGTGATAGTTCAAAGACACACAGAAGACAGGCGTCAAGTGATAGCAATTCCGCGTTTCGTCTGATGAGTGTGCGTCCCAGAGGCCTAATTTAGTCCTCTTTCCCTTCCCACCCTTTTTCATATAAGGAAAGGATGGAAAGTGGAAGTGGACTTTCCGGATGAGAGAAAGCATGGAAATGGAAAATACATTTTCTCTTTGTGCATCCTTTCCTCCGTCGATTTAAGGTAGGCAACGCATATGCAATTGCGTATGTCTATGGGCAACAGTCACTTCGCTATCTCAGCGATTTCAGGTGGCCGCTCGCTCGTTTGCCACCTTATGATAAAAAAAGAAGTCTTTATGGAAAAGATTTATAAAGTCGGGAATATCCGCTTGCCTCTTTGGTTTTATTTTAATGATAAGTAATTTCAATTTTGTGGCCCGCGACTTCGTCAGTGCGTTATTAAAAAAAAGCTACCTTCCAGTAAAAGTCCCGTTAAAATCGTTCCATCAATTTCGGGGATTACCCGGAACAAACCCGGATATGAGGACAGACAGACAGACGCACAAATATTTTTTATTTAATTTGCGATACAGAGGCATTCCAAATGTGATTTAATGTAAAGCTTCCCAAAATGACCAAACAAAATTTATATTTAAAATAAAATGATCCTTTGCGGTGGACCCGTTTGGCAAAATACAAGTACATTTTTAGCAGACGAGGTTATTATTAACGTATAGTGGATGAAGGTCATAGTTTTCACAAGGTTTTTAACCTTTTGACTGTCAAATAAGTCATAAAAATCTATAAAATAAAGCATGCAACATAATGATGAAAACGTCGACAATTTACTAATAAAGCCGACTATGGAGCACATCTATGATTTAGTCCTCGTGGCGTATAAAAACCTCAAATTTGCATTCCCTATTTTAGATCTTTCGACCCAAATTCCGTAGACGATAGCGACATTTGCACGATGAATTTGCACCATAAAACAGATACTCAAATAATTATATTTAAAATTGTTGTGTAGATTTTCAACTAATTTATTTGTTTACTAGCTGTCGCTCACGAGTCCGTCCGCGCGGATATAGGCTAGCCTATGTGTGTTTCCAGGCTATGTTGTACATCTACGCCAAATATCAGTAAGTTCCATGCAGCCGTTCAGCAGATACCATCAAACAAACATCTATCCATCTATATATGCATCCACACATCGAAACATTCACATTGAACAGAATTTTTAATTTAATTTACAAAAAAAATGTGACAATTTTTTATTCGTCGATTCGAATTATTGATTAAATTAACTTAATTAGTTGTAAGAAGACGAAGCTTAGCTCGTTCTGAAAACCGGCGTAACTTTTATGCAAATAAAACGAAGTCCACTGAAGTTTGCATGAATTTGAATTACGTTAAAATTAATTTTGACCTTTATAACCTTCTTCAAGGTCAACGTAATTACATTGTATCTTGATAGTTTGTTTATTTAGCAAATTCACAAAGGATTATTAGATAATGGGGGTTATCTCTGGTGTCCCAATTCTTAGTAATAATTTCATCAGGTTATCATCTTGACAAAACGGTGCAAGGACGTCTAATTAATATCTCACATAATCCTAACAAATATTACTGCGCAATTTATTTTAATTATTTTGCGTAAGCGAAATAAAAAAACCGTATAATAATATAAAAAATTTTACAGTGTATAAAACTAAATTTTATTATTGCATTAAAATTATTCATTACGTATTTTGTTACACTAGAGTGATTAGGGAATAACAAAAATAAATTCTATAATAACTTGACACCTTCCTAAGAAAAAGTCTTGACGGACAGACGGACGGACAACAAAGCGATCTTATAAGGGTTCCGTATTTTTCCTTTTTAGGTATGCAACCATATTAACATTCAAAGTAACAAAGTAATTTCGTGAATGCTTACTTAAGATTCTCTTTCTTGCATTTTTTTTTATTCAAATATTAATTTTATTATGTTTAATATTATAAAATTAAAATTATATCAGAGTTAATATCACCCGAGATAGATTAGTGATATTTATTTAGAGAATGGAATCAGATGATAAAAAAGAATTAACAAAATCGGATCACATTATACATCCATACAGATAACCTCCTCCTTTTGGATGTCGGTTAAAAAGAAGTCATACCGGTTGGTTGCGGACGTCATTGAAAATAATTACGAAGATTTTTAGTTTATTAATCTAACAAGTTTGATCTTTAAATATTATTTATAGGATTTAAAAAAAATGGGTCAAAAACATTAAGTGAGACTTTTAATATCTTCAAAAAGCTGTTCAAACTTATTTAAAAATGTCAGTAAATTGTTAATGCATCTTCTTTAGAGTATCCAATACCCCAGAACTTCATTTCAGTTCCTTTCGGGGGATAAAAAAAGCTCGCAGTCCTTACTTACATCTATATTGTCGTATCCTCATCGAAGTATATTACTTCTAAGAGCGCCATCTCTTATCGGAGATTGGCGACCATCATGTTAAATTGAATTTTCGACACTGCTACTCTGAACACAGAACAAGTGCTCTCATCTCTAGCAAAGATATTTATTTCTTTTTCCTTGTACTATCAACTGTAATAGTACATTTTTTTACCCCGCATTATATGAAGAAGGTATTCAAACTTCCTCTTTATTATTGTTTATAATTTTTTCCCCATTGTTTGCAACACTACTACATTGTGTACTTTATCTCTCCGAGTTATTTTCATATATTTATATAATACTAGCTGTCAACTACGACTCCGTCCCGCGAAATTATAAAAAAAAACTTAATTAGTAGCCTGTGTTTTACATATATGCCAAATTTCAACAAGATCCCAGCAACAGCTTTGGAGATATTTAGTAACAAACATCAATCCAAACATTCGCATTTATAATAGTAGTAAGATGGAAGAAGAAAACTGAGTAAGGTTATTATACTAGCGCATGCCTGCTGACCTCAGCTCCAACAGCTTCTACGCTAAGATCAAAGACCCTAAAACATAGGAACATATCAAAAGTGTGGTGATTTGACAAACTTATCCATATCGTAAAAACATTCATGGTCATTCGGGCAATTAGACATAACATGTTTGACGTAACAAACTCGTTTATTTTGATAAATATATTTTTGAG